AGGCCGATAAGAGTGCTGGAGAAGGTTGCTCCCATTGCCTTACTGACATCCAGAATTTTTGGGTGTTGCCCGACGTTCACACTGGGTTGACCACCGACCGAAGTCTAAAAATATTTAGGAGAAGTGACTCTCTGGAATAGGTTTACTGTATTAGGATGTGATTGTTGAAAAGTCCGGTGAATAGCCTCGGAAAATAGCAAGGGATCCAATCTCTGATAATGAATTAGAATGTGATTTCGAAACATCAGGCAGGTAAAATTCTTGTTCTGGTCATCGTGTTTATCTCCTCCCCCCCCCGAATGAAGGTATACCTAACACACTAGTCATCCCAGCTTAGACCCATTTCTGTTGTACGTAGGTTTTTTTGATATGCATACATCCCAGTATCATTACAGATAAAGCTAATGAAGTAACTTGTTTTTCGCTCATGTTGGGTGATCACTTAGCTGTTTGGTAGTGACGCTTGTATGGGCGTCTCAACAGGACAAGAAAACAGGGAATGTCCGCAATGAATGTGGCTTTGCGCCAAATTCCGGAAAAATTAGATACAGAATTAATGTGAGGGTGAGTTTAAGTTTAGGGTTAGGTTCAAGATTAGAGTTAAGGTTTAGATCCTGATTATGTAAAGGGTCAAGGTTCGCTTTCATGTTAACTTTAGGGTTTAGGGTAGAGCTAGAGTTCGGATTAAAGCTAAATTTTACTTTTATGTTAACTTTATACGGGAATATTTTCCCATTTTAAGTGGTTTTGGCGCTTCTATAACCGCGGGCTATTTGCGCAGTCATACAGGGCATCCATATAAGCAGTTCTTCAAAGAATTAGCAGTCGGTTCGTTTTTTAGGGTTGGTCTCCAAGAGGTGTGTCCCATTTAAATGAATTGTTTCAAAATCAACACGATATTTCAGCCTAGAAAAAATCATTTCACTGAGTTTTTTTGAAAAGCTTGTTCGCATATATGCTGGGTTTAATATCTGCATCGTATGTTTAAGAAAGCTTAGGAATTATCAAAGCATCTATTGTTTTGGAATATGTAAACGAAAATATTATACGGATTGCAGTTTTTTGTTTATAAATCTGGTGAGAACTAGCCTTTTTTCTACCCTGTCTGGTAGAAATATACCTTTTCATATCGTTTCATTTCCAATTTGTAGGGCGATCATACTAACTTTCAGCCGGCATTTGTGTACTTATTCCCATCTTGCATATTTATCAAAGCCAGCACGTAGCTGGGCCTTAATCGTCAAAGGATTATCTATTATCTCCTTCGATATTAGGACAACAGTCTGTTATATGAGAAAATACTTAAAAATATCAGTCGGCACTTCAAAGGTATCTATGTACGCTATGTACCACTACTGTTGAAAGCATTTTGGGCTGAAATAATTTCTGTACGCGTGCCAAGACTTTGCAAATCCCAACTCCTGTCATCCATAATAAGGTAGTCATTTAAGTGGCCGGAAAAGCAATTTGTCTGGCTAAGTTATACCGCTGCACCGGGTTTTATAGCTACACAAAATAAACAGC